ATAATTGTATATATTTTCTTGTATGATTCATTAGTGTTTTAATTAAAGCTGTGTAGTTTAGTTTTCAATCCAGCCAAGTCTCTCTCTTTTTCTCTCTCTCCTTCCCTACTTGGGTTGGGGGGAGGGAGGATCGAGAGCATTGTTGTCGGACCTGAGTCAAACTGTGACAACTTCCACAGATGTTTCTGACTGAGCCAAGACACCCTGGGCCACCGAAACTCCAAACATGCCAGGTCTAACCCACTTTTTGAGGAGGCTTCAGCAGTGCTCACTTTGTTACACACCAATACACAGAAGTTTTACAACACAGCTCCTTCATTGATTTGCTTTTTGATGACAGTAATATACAGTACAGTAATAATAACCAACAATAAGAGTTTTTTAGAAAAGGAGAAAAAAACCTCTGTATCCTCAGTATAAGATTTTTCTCTTTGCAGAAACAGATATCTGCCTGAGATGCAGACACTCTTGATAATTTAAGCATTTGTGGGGTTTTTTTCCTAATCTACCATTAGCTTTTCAGATATCCACTACGCTAAACTGAATTAAACCATTCCCTCTGTCTGTTATGACTAAAGCTTTAAGTATAATACACACAGAAAATAAAAGTTCTTTGTCTGACCAAATTACTTTTCATCAATATTGCTTTAGGAATTACAAACATGCTTTAAAGATTTTACACTTGTTTAATTTAATATTACTCAGAAGCCAGAAAATTACCCCAACAAGTCAGGACACTTTAAGACACAGTATTTAGATGTCAGATTTCATTGTAAGTGTATGTAATTTCATTTTCTAACCCCAAACTGAAGTCAATAAAATTCATTGGCAAGCAACAAGATACACATTCTTCCATATAATGTAATCCATTATTCCTCCACCAAAAGCTATCAAAGACTTGACTTAAAGAAAGGGCTGTTGTTAATAGTTCTAATGTTTCTCCCTCCAGACATCTTTTTTCGTTTTGTAGCAAAGTGCTAGTTTCCTAGAACACATAAAAATATAAATGCAGACTAACCAACTGTCAAGCTCTAAAGTTGTCCAGCTGGTAATCCATCCAGCCTTCAAAAATCACCATCCTTGGAAAAATGTGTTCAGAAGCAGTAAGTGATCCAGCCTAGAAACCAACCCTGCCCTGGGCTGCATCAGAAGTGTGGCCAGCAGGCCAAGGGAGGGGATTCTTTACTGTGAGGGTGGTGACACACTAGAACAGGTTTCCCAGAGAAGCTGTGGCTGCCCCATCCCTAGAAGTGTTCAATGGCAGGTTGAATAGGGCCCTGAGCAACCTGGCCTAGCTGGAGGTGGAACTAGAAGATATTTAAGGTCCCTTCCAACTCAGGTCATTCTGTGATTCTATGATGATCCAGACAGAAAAACAAATCACTATCACCAGGTTCATAAACAGGAGAGAAACTGCTGCCTGGAAAGAGGGCTCTCATTCAAGGTGAAAGAAGTTGATCAAGAAACAGCAGCACTGCTTCATCACGGAAGGAAGATTCCCAGGTTTAGGATCCAGCCCCCACAGCCACCACCAGAGTGGTTCAGCATTCAGTGATCAGAGCACCAGCTACAAAGAGAGAGCCCTTCCTGCAGTGACACCTTATCAGACAAACACAGCCTCTGACAAGTCAGATGTGGCTACAAAACCAAAAAGCAGGTTGACTGTTCTTACAGTCTCAAAGATATTTAATAGTTTGTAATTCTTCATCAAAAAAAAACATTCAGTGAAAAGGGAAGAAGTAGCATGGTAGCATGTACTGAACTACAATATAATCCTCAAATACAAATAATTTTAGCAACTGAGGTATAACATCAATTATCCTTTCCTGAGGAAACAAAAATACTTCACCTAAATCACTGAATCTTAAAGCAAAAGCACACAAGGTTTCCAAGCTTGCCACGGGTCAAGCAATTAATTAAAACTTGCAATAAATAAATAAATAAATAAATAACCCACTATTTCCAACACACAAAGAGAAATAAGATAAAGGCTCAAGATATGTGAATTAGCTCACATATAGTGAATTAGCAAAGAATTACAAGAGTGTTAAAGCTTTCACCTCTAGTCACCACATCCCAAAAATTACATATAGCAAGTAAAAGGGTACTTTCATAATTCAGGTTTAAGGATGAAAAAGCAACAAGCACTGCTATGGAAGTAGGTAGGATGTGCAAGAGTTATTTCATATAAATCCTTTACCTCAAATAATTTCTTCTCCACAGTAAATTACATGTACATCATAATGCTACCATTCAAAAAGAAGAAACCTGGTCCATGCATGAACCTACATCCCTGCTCCATTCAAACTTCACTTCAGCAAGCATTAAATTCCCAGCAATTTCATTGGACAAACCACATTTCACAAGCCAGGTGACTGTTTTTGTCATGCTTAGCACTGAAACTTTCTCTCCCTTCAGCTATGTCACAGTCTTCCTATTCATCCAATGGAAAAACAAACCTATAGATTAGCATCATTTGGGAGCACCAATCATTGTAAAACATTCTGTGTTGGATTTGCTTGACATCATTAGATTATTCCATCTGACCTCTTCAACCCAGTATTCCTAGAGGGCAATTCATCTCATCCTGAAGTAGAATTATCAAATAAGCCAGACAAATTGTCCCCCAAAAATGTATTTTTCTTTCTACTGACTACAGAGGGAGCCCAGGGTGGATACAGACACCTAGACCATGGATATCTTCAATTAAGCACCAGGAAATCAACTTTCTTTACTTTCAGATGAAAGAAAGATGCTGGGCTCTGTTCATTCCAGTCTTGCTGCGTGGCCCACTACTGCCACAGGACTCAGTTTTAATGGAGTAGAGTGGAGCTTGGTGGGATTTTTCATAAAGATCAAGGCAAAAGGCCTTTACAGAACACTGATACTCATATTTCTGGAGCACTGATAAGATGCCTTACTTGAACCTTGCAGTTTCACACAGTCAACAAACATACACCACATGCTCCAATCTCTGCCATTCATTTTCACACCTTCAGCAGTGACCTCATGTTCACTGTGCTGAAGTACTTTTAATTAAGAGACCAGGTTGCCCAGAAAGAAACCTATTTGATGCATCTGACCAGGCCTCAGTAATCCCAGATTGGTTTGGGTTGGAAGGGACCTGAAAGATCATCTAGTTCCAGCCCTCCTGCCATGGGCAGGGACACCTCCCACCATTCCAGGCTGCTCCAAGCCCCATCCAACCTCCCCTTCAACATTCCCAGGGACAGGGCAGCCACAGCTTCTCTGGGCAACCTGGGCCAGGGTCTCACTATCCTCACAGGCAAGAATTTCCTCCTAATATCTCAACACACAAATAATGAATATATAAATAATTAAATATGAAATGTTAAGAGAGCCATCAATCTGTATAAACTGTATGCAACTTTTTCCCATTATTCCATGACTGCAAAATAGCATATTAGTCTTTCAATATTCACTTAAGTATATTTCAAGAGAAGCTTACTACACTAAAACTCAGCATTGATGAAGTATCCAAGTCTTTTCACTTCAGAACTCAGCTATTTAATATAAATATTTGCTTTTAATTTTAAAAAAAGGTCTTTAACAATGGATAATACCTTAGAACACCAAGTCTAATCAACAGTTGTGCTTTACATTTTAAGATCAGTCAGAAGAAAAGAGTAATAGAACTCCTTTAAAAGCCTACAAACGACTTCCTTCTTCAAAAAGATGAGCAAAAATGCTAATGACAAAAAAATAACCTCTACAAAATGGCAATGAGTTCATTACCATGCTCTGAAAGGCACATTTGATTTTCTCCCTCATGAAAAAAAACAGAGGATATGGCCATACCTGCACCAGATGATCGGTGCTGCTGCCTCCCACTGGGTGAAGAAGGTTCCTTCATCCGATCAATGACACTGTCAGAGAGCTGAAAAACAGAACCCCCAACTGAGTCAGAGAACTTCTCCTTTTATCCCCATTATCCCTCTCCTTCCCTCCCCCCAAAATACACTGAAACGGGAAAAAAAGTACACAGAGCCCCAAAATAAGCTATAGCAGCCACAAAAGTTTCATCAACAAAGCAAAAAACCCTGTATTTCTCCTTTTCCACGGGGTGAGCACCGACCTCTGAGTGCAACCAGGATGAACAACATTATTTTGGCTTTCACAGAACACGAGAAACTGCTACAACAAAACACAGGATCAAGGAAAGTGCAAAGGAAGCAACACCCTTTGACACGTTGCTTATAATTAATCAGCCTTTTTTTGCCTTTCTTAATTGTTTGCAGGACCATCAAGCACCACACGATGCAGGTGAAAGTGCTGAACACAGACGGAAGTTGATTCTGACAAAGCCCTCAAAATGCTTGGCAACACAAGTGGCCCCAGCAAGTGCAGTCAGCCACTGAGCTCATCCTAGTGGTGCCACATGCACACACACACACCAATCCTGTCACAACAGCCTCAAAGTGAGAGTAAGAGCAACACCCAGCTACAGATCTACTGCAGCCCATGGGGAAAAGAAGTGAAGTTAAAGAAATCATTGTAGAACCACAGACTGGTTTGGGTTGGAAGGATCTTAAAGATCATCCAGTTCCAAACCCCTGCATGGGCAGGGACACCTCCCACCAGCCCAGGCTGCTCCAAGCCCCATCCAACCTGCCCTTCAACACTGCCAGGGATGGGGCAGCCACAGCTTCTCTGTGCCAACCAGGGCAACCTGGGCCAGGGTCTCACCACCCTCAGAACAAGAATTTCTTCCAAATGTCTAAAGTCTTCCCTCTTCCAATTTTAACTCTTGTCCCAAGTCCCTCCCCAGCTTTTCTGGAGCCCCTTCAGGCACTGGAAGGTGCTCTAAGGTCTCCCTGGAGCCTTCTCTTCTCCAGGCTGAATACCCCAACTCTCCCAGCCTGTATCCATCCAGCCATTGGATTATCTTTGTGGCCTCCTCTGAACTTCCTCCAGGAGCTCCATGTCCTTGATAATATGAAAGCTTTTGTTTTCCAACTGACAACTTTCTCTCGGTTTCCCTGAACAGCAGCTCTTCTGAAAATACTGTTTTAACTGCCCATGAGAATTCATTTTAATTAGCCAGTGCTTCACAAAGCCTACAGCAGGACATTCTCACTGGTAGAAATCTGTATTGCAAAAATTTGTAATCTAAAACGCAAGTAAAATAATAAAATTACTTCAGCATAAGACTCCTTAACCCAGGCTCATAATTCTCAACTTGACAGTTTGTTTTATATAAGTAAACAGATCCACTTTGGGATGTCCTATTGACTTATATGATTTAATTAGTAAAGATAGACCTACTTATTACATGCAACATCATTCGGTTCTTATTCCAAATATTTCCAGATGCAGGATACTTAAGAGAAATTCCAAGAGCCCTTCCCAGTATTTAAGCATGTTTCAGAACAGATGAACTCTGCTGCCAACACTCACATTGCTGTTGTCAATTTCAGAGCATGAAATGCCCAGAACTGAAACATATGAGTGTGCTGAAATAGGCTGCAGTTGCTACCACGGTTCATTCTGCAACATTCCAGCTTATTAGCAAAAATAAAAAGTAAAGGACAACATATTATCATATCTGGTATGAAGTTGAAGTTGTTCAGCCTGAAGAAGAGAAGGCTCCAGGGAGACCTTAGAGCAGCTTCCAGTGCCTGAAGGGGCTCCAGGAAAGCTGGGGAGGGACTTGGGACAAGTGTTAAAACTGGAAGAGAGAAGACTTTAGACATTTGGAAGAAATTCTTGTTGTGAGGGTGGTGAGACCCTGGCCCAGGTTGTCCAGAGAAGCTGTGGCTGCCCCATCCCTGGCAGTGTTGAAGGGCAGGTTGGATGGGGCTTGGAGCAGCCTGGAATGGTGGGAGGTGTCCCTGCCCATGCAGGGGGGTTGGAACTAAATGATCTTGAAGGTCCCTTCCAACCATTTGGTGATACACACAGTGCCTTCCACTGAAATATTTCTGAGCTGCAAGACTTCTCAAAGTGTCTTGTGTCACAAACTGTCTTCTGGCCCATCCCAGGCAACAGCATGCCATGAACAGGGAAAAAAGAGTAATGCTGCTGGAGACACACAGGAAGGTGTAAGAGAGTAGAGTATGGGAAAGGGAGGAGCTCTCAGAGACAGAGGTCAAGGAAAGACAAAACAAGCTCCACCACTTGCATATCTCTCCTACAATTGTTCTGTCTCCCTGTCTTTACAAACCAGGACTGCAGAAGGTTCCCCCACAGTAGCTTCACGTTTCTTGTCACAACAAACCCCTCTAGGCTGCACCCGAGCCCCAGGTGCCCTAAAAAACCCTAAAAAAAGCAGAACAAGGACGGGAAAGGGGTGGAGGTCACTGAGGGAGAGGGGATGGAAAGGAGCAACCGCGAGGCGTGAGAGGAGGAGGCTGCAGAGGACGGGGCAGGATCCCCAGGGGACGAGGTAGAGACACCAGGACACAAGAAGGACCAGGGCGGGCCGAGCCCAGGGAGGACCAGGCCCCATCTGTCCCTGCGAGAAGCCCAGGCCGGGAGAAGCCCCGGAGGGGTTGGGGGACGAGTCCCGCTCTCACCCGCACGCCCTTGACCACCGTGATGTTCTCATTCTCATCCGCCTCGAAGGTGACCCGCCGGGTGCTGCTCCCGCCGCCCATCCTGGCCCCGCCGCCCCGGGACGGCCCCAAGGAGAC